CTGTACTAGTGCTTTTTCTGGGTTTGAATCTTATACTAGAATGTATTCTTGCAGAATTTGCGTGCAATTACAAATAAACAAATAGTTTAATAGAAAATAAGCAAACAGTAAAATACCTTAAGTATCTTTCCATCAGGGTACGTAGATCTAAATCTTTTTATCAGCCGTATTGCATAAATTTAACCTAATGTATTTAATGTTTTCCCTATTGATGGACTTTTTATGTTGCTTCGGTTGTTTTAACCTTTGCAAGCACTGCAATAGATATCCTAGTATATGAATCTTTGTGAAACTGTGTAAGTATCAGGCTGGCTAAACTCCTAGGAATAGAATTGCTCAAAGAATTTGTGGGATATTATATTTATCATATAATAGATTTTGCCAAATAGCTCTCTGTAAAACTGTTGCATCACAGTATCTGCCTCCAACAGAGCGTGGGAGTGCCCATTTCCCCATAAACCAGTCAATAACATTATCAAATTTCTAAATTTTGGCACTCCTAGATGAAACATGGCAACACATAGTTGTTTCGATCTGCATTTCTTTGAAGTTGAGCTTTTCTTCATATGTTTATCCGTCATTGGTATTTCTTTTCTGCAAACAAATCCATTTGCATCTTTGGCATGCTTTCTATTGGCTTACCATTTTATTAATGATTTGTAAGAGTTTTTAGATTATTACAAATAAGCTGTTTGACATCCTATCCTCATGAGTTTGTGTTTTTAAGTTTACTAAAATTTTAAATGTCTTCATAATCAATTTCTAAATGTTTCCCTCTGATGGGGAACATAAATTGGTCACAGTCGATTGAGTTCTGAAAAGCCATTAGTAAGGGTCTAAGGCACTCTGGGCTTCCTGTTTCACCTCCTAGAAGGGCCTCCCCCACACAGGGGCCCCTCAGGCAGGGAGCTTCCTGCTGGGGTGTCAGATTTCAACCTAAGAAAGAGGCTGCCTGAAGGGTCTATATTTAGAGTATGACTCCCCAGCAGGGGCAGCTGGATGTCTGGGGACTAAGTTCTGCATACTTTGTCCCTGAGTTCTGGGATTATTCTGAGGGGCTTGTATGGTTGGTGCAGTGAAACTGTAACAGAAGGCAGGGACTTCCCCCTGGCGACTGCTTGGGATCCTGTAAACTGCTTTTTGTGAGAGAAAAATGACATGGATTTCAGGAGTATCGCCCACAGATCCATAGTCAGCCACAGACCTTACCCCCTATCTCTACTGAAAGATGCTGAACACTGTATGCCCCCGCTGCTAGGGTTAGGGTTAGGTCCCAGCTGCTATGGGGACATACGGTGCATGAATGGCAGATAGTGGAGATATCTCACCAGTGTCATGATCTAATGAAAATCCACCTGTTAAGCTTCATTTCCATTAGTGGGATAGCACAGTTGGTCCTTTCCTGGGTGTGATGAGACTGATTTGATCACACGCTTATGTAAAATCCCAATAAAACTCCTTGAGTGGAAAACAGGTTAATCTGGGAAGTCACTAGTTTTCAGGCGCTGGGTTCATCAGGAGTGGGGTCTCCATTCCATCACCCAGGAGTCATCTATGAAGAAGTTCTCAGACACCTGACACAAGATCATCAATAAATTCAACCAGAACTTCGAAAAGTTGTAAATCGCTTGTGTAAAATTGCCAAGATTGGTCTTTCCAAAGATGAATTTATAGGTCACATTGAAAACCTATTGGTTTTGTTCAGGAAAATTTTATATTTAAAATGTTAATAATTACCAGTCTGTTTTGAAAGCTGTGAAATAATTTATAGCAATTCGAAAACATTCTTAATGTGGCACAAAATAACGTCAACAAATGGATGAGTCTTTTGTTATTTTTACAACCTAATTTGTAAATGTCAAACGAAAATGGCTTGACGCCATTTCCCCATTACAAAAACAATGAATGTGACGTTAAAAGGGAAAAAAAAGGAACATAAAAAAGAAAGTTAAACCTCTCCTTGCACTCTCTGCTCCCCTTCCTGACACCTCTTCCCTAGCCCATTTTGGTGCAGCAACGTATCCAATGGGGACGCTAGTCTTAACAGCGTAAGAGAGAAAGAGAGAGTCCTCAAAGGAGCAGCCGAAAAGGCCTGAGCCAAGGCCTGAGGGTGGATGGGGGACGCAGACCCTCCCTGGTAACAGGAGAAGGGCAAACTCCAACCGCAGGGAGGTGATGCCACTTGTGGGCTCTCAGATTGGAGGGAAAGGAGCTGAGTGACCGGGCCTCGCGCACAGCTGGGTGGAGGGGGAGATCTTGCGCGCGGAGGTGGAGGGGAGGGTCCTGTTGAACTCCCCGCCGGCCCTGGTTGCGGGGGGGGATCGGAGGGCGAGCTAGGCGGTGACGCGGGGCCCTCACGTGACCGGGAGCTGCAGAGCGACGCAGCTTTCGGTGCAGTCGTCACTCGTGTCTGGGTACCAGCTCCCCGCTGCCCTGCGAACGGCGGGCTGGCATCGGGCCCGGGGGAAGCGGAGCAGGTAAGGGCCCCGTGCGCCAAAGCCAGGGCGGCAGCGGACTGCGGATCCCCGGAGCTGGTCGGGGGGTGGCGGACAAAGCAGGCTCAAGTTCCCAGAGCCTTCGCTCAGATTCTCCCGAGCCCTCCTCCTCCTCCCTACGTCTGTGCTGGGGAACCGTGAGCTTTGACAGGGCGAATGGTGGGGGGAGTGTCTCAAGAGGGAAATGCAGAGATTGAGATGCCCCATTCTCTCTGAATCTAATCACAGACCACACACGCCTGCTCCGCTTCCTGCTCATTTCAGTGGAAGGGACACGCCACGGTGGCGTTTGCAGAGAAAATGGTGGGCCTTAGTGACTGGACGGCAGGGTTGGTGAGGGTGGCGTCTTGCAATGTGGGGAGGGACGTTTGATAACTGGGTTCCTGAATCCAGCGTTGGGATCTGTGTCCTGGGTACTGGTCCCAGCGCTCAGTGCCTTTACTATCTCCTATCTGAAGACAGTAATTCGGGGTGGCACTGTTCGCGGCAAGGCGAGGGAAGAAGGAAAGGAGACAACTGCACAGGATCTGCGGAGGTTAGTGTGGGCACAGGCACCCGTTGTGAACAGTTGAAGCGCTCTATGAATATTCTCTGTGACAGGAACTTAGGCGCCTCTATTTGGTTGGGATATAGGGTGGGGCTATAGTGGACTTTCCCTAAACTGCGTTTACTTACCAAGCTTGGGCTTTTTAACGTAAAGTGTATGTTGAAGACCAATAAAGACGGCAACTTTTCTAGGGATGCTTTTATTTGTGCCTCAGAAAATACAAATTGTTGTCTCAAAGAATTACTTTTTTTTTTTTTTTTTGGAGATAGCCTTTGTGGGGCAGGGATGGTGATTTTGCAGAAGCAAAAGCCTCCCTCCACCACACACACACCTTGTCTCTTATGCTGGAGATTCCTAGAGATGGGTTTAAAGAGAAGTAGATGGCAGTAGGCTGTGATTCTAGAATATGGGATATGGGGGCCTCTATGTGTCTCCTGGTTTTCCAGTTTTTCAGATTTTCCCACCTGTCCGCACAGGTGAAGGAAAAGATGGACTTTTGGGAGAAGCCCTAGAATCCTACAGGTGGTTTTAGAATAATTCGCCTCTGTCTCTCCCCTTTTTCCTGCCTCCCCTTTCCACCCTGCCCATTTCAGTGCTGGAGAAGCCCTAGGTTTTGCTTGCCAGAGAACAGATCTCTAAATCCAGTAAGGCAGGTACTGGGACCCATGTTTCAGATGCTGGGATGTCACAAGCACTCAAGTTTCACCTTCCCTTTTTTCTCTGTTTTTTCCTAGGTCTTCCCATAGGGCGATAGTAGGGCTGTTTACCACTGAAAGCAAGGGAAATTGGGAGACTGGCCTGGGACCATGGAGGTTGGTGTGAAGATGGGCAGTGCCTGGGGGTAACAAGAGAGGGTGGGCATATGAGGTGGCTGAGACTTGAGACGGTCCTCTCAGTGGAGGGTTCTTCTGCCTCTCCTACACTCTGCCAAATTTCCACAGTGTTGCTACCCCCACTACTGATTTCAGTGCAGGAAATAGTAGAAATATTGGGGTAAGGGTGGGCCGGAGTGTGACAGAGAGAAGACTTGAAAGGATGGATCATATTAGCAAACTGGACATGTGCTCTCACAAGGCAGGGACTGGAGTCAGGGATCAAGGTGCTTGTTTGTTCTGTGAAGGATCTGGTCTCTACTATCTGTTTGTTTACTTGTCCACAGGTTGGTCTACAGGTCTGAAAGGTTTGAGATCACTGGAAGCAAAGAAACAAGAAGGAAATTATCCCTGATCAGTATAGACTGGCAAGAGGCTGGGGACTGGCTGGGTAGACATCAAAGGTGGGTTGCTGGAGACCAGTGCCCATCCAGTAGGGCCAGTGTCCAGTCTGGAGGATCCTCAGTCTCTCCTTTTTCCAGTCACTTTTCCCACTATCTCTTCACTTACCCCACACCTTCACCTTTATTTTGGCACAGGGAGTGGGGCAAATTGAAGGGGATAGAGAGGTAGTTTGCTAATAATATATCTGTCACAACAAGAGCAAAATCTTCACTTCCACCTGTCTATCTGTCTGTCTCTAGGTCCACAGATCTCATGAGTTTATAGATCTACTTTAGGGTATATCTCCAATCAAGAGAAGGAAAGAGGAGGGAACTGCCTTGATCATTACAGGTTGGTATGAGGGTGGGGACCTGTGGGAGTGGTGACCAGAGTAGGTCCAGTAAAAATCGAAGTCTGAGGGCTTCCCAGTCTTTACCATTCATAGTCAGCCTTACCACCATCCTTTCCACTGTTCATTTGGTATAAGGAAATGTGTACAGAAGTACCTTGGGGGAAATTGTTGGGCACTGGGGAAGATGGAGAGGAGATAAAATAAAAGGGATGGAGAGAGCATTTGCTAATCATCCTTTTCTTCCACCAAGCACATCATTTTTACACTTTCCTGTCCTTCTGTATCTATCTGTGTGATGCACAGAATTAGAAGAGAAATTTTAGTGCATTTCCTTCCTCCACTTCTAGGTCCACCTCCAGTGGCAACTGTAGTGGCCTTTGAGTGGCTGAAGACCAACACCCTCACAGGCCTATGCGCAGACCTACTACCCACTTTTCGCAGCCTGATTGAGCCCCTCTGTACCTTGTTCGTGTCTTCAGCAAGGGTGATTACATGGGTCGTGTTCAGGAAGTGGGCTGGGTGACCGCAGGACTGATGATCTGGGCTGGTGCTTGCTACTGCATTTACAGATTAACCAAGGGAAGAGCCCAGAGTGTGAGGAGACTTGCCAGAAATGGGTCCAGAGTCAAAATGGAGACTGTGGTTGGGATACAGAACCAGACCTTGGCGATGTGTGAAGCCATGGTTGGGACAGAGATTGAGACTAGATCCAAGCCCAAGACTGGAGCAGAAACTGGAGCAGGAGGTGGGGCTGGGGCTGAAGTAGAGACTAATACCACTGCTACAGCCAGAATCAAAGCCAACTCTCAAGCCAAGGCATGGGCTGAGGCAGAGACAGAGACCCAATCTGAGGCCAAGACAGTGGCTGGAACAGTGGTCATAACAGAGGCAGTGATTCTGACTGAGGCCAAAGCCAGTGAAGTGGCCATGAAAGAAGCAGTGACCCAAACTGACTCTGAGTCTGGGAGACTAGTCAAGAAAGAGGCAGTGACCCAGACCAAGGCTAAAGCTTGGGCACCTGGTGCTAGGGCAGAGACCAAGAAAGAAGCAATGACCCAGACCAAAGCAGAAACTCGTATATTGGCTGAAAAAGAGACAGAAATGAACAGAGTGATGGTGACACAGAATGAGGCCTTGGCAGTAATCAGGGAAGTGGCCAAGATGGGTACCATAAACAAGATTGGAAGTGTGGCTGAGACCAAGTTGAGAGCCCTGGAAGAGACTGTGAGTGTGGCCAAGACTCAGTCTGAGGCCAGGTCTGGTACCTCAGTTGATGCTAAGGGAAATCATAACACCAAGTCCAAGGCAGAATCTGGAGCAGACATGAAGTCCTGTGCACTGTCTCAGGCTGTGGCCAAGATCCAGGTTGACGACATGCTTGGTACTGGGGTTGAGGCCAAGGGGAACTGCAAAACTGTGTCTCAGGCAGGGTCTGTGGCAGATATGAGGGCTTCTGCTCAGCCTCAGATTGTAGCCAAGACTGAAGCTGTGCCTGGGGCAATGGTTGATGCTGGGGTTAATACCAATGCCATGTGTGAGGCAGGGGTTGGGGCAGGTACAAGTGCTTCTACGCAATCTCAGACTGTGACCAAGAAACAGGCTGAGACAATGTCTAGTGCCAGGGTTGATGATAGGGGAAATAACAATGTCACATCTAAGGCAATGACTGGAGCTGACATGAGGGCTGCCGCTCAGCCTCAGGCTGTAGCCAGTGCTCAGGCTGAGGCTACGTCTGATGCCAGGGGTAAGGGTAGAGGCAATTCCAATGCCGTATCTAAGGTGGGGGTTGGGACAGACACTGAGTCCTATGCACAGCCTCAGCCTAAGGCCAATGTCCAGGCTGATGCCTTGCCTGATGGCAGGATTAAGGCTCAGGGCAATGCCAACACCAAGTCTAAAGAAGAGGCTGGGACGGACACAAAGGCACAGTCTCAGACTTCCACTAAGAGCCAGGCTGAGGCTCTACCTAGTACCAGAGGTAAAGCTAGGGGCAAAGCCAAAGGCAAGTGTAAGGCAGGGGTCGGAGCAGACATGAAAACCTGTGCACAGCCTCAAGCTGGGGTCAAGGCCCAAGCTGAAATTTTCCCTGATTCCAGGACTGATGGCAGGGGCGATCCTGATACCATTTCTGGGGCAGGGGCTAAGGCAGAACTAAGGGCCTGTGGTCAGCCTCAGGAAATGGCCAGTTCCCAGGGCGAGGCCTTGCCTGGTGCCAAGAAGAAGGTCCAGGACAATCCCAATGCTGTGTCTAAGTCAGGGGCTGGGCCACATGCAAAGAGCTCTGCACAGCCCCAGGCTATGGCCAATACCCAAGGGGAAGCCTTGCCTGGTGTCAAGAATAAAGTCCGGGGCAATCCCAATACTGTGTCTAAGGCAGGTACTGGGCAAGATACAAAGGGCTCTGCCCAGCCTGAAACAGATACAACAAGCTCTGCTCAGCCCCAGGCTGTGGCCAGTTCTCAGGGCGAGGCCTTGTGTAGTACTAAGAATAAGATCCAGGGCAATCCTAATGCTGTGTCTAAGGCAGGGACTGGACCAGATACAAAGAACTCTGCCCAGCCCCAAGCTGTGGCCAGTTCCCAAGGTGAGACTTTGCCTGGTGTCAAGATTAAAGTCAGGAGCAATCTCAACGCTGTGTCTAAGGCGGGGGCTGGGCCAGATACAAAGGGCTCTGCCCAGCCTCAAACAGATACAACAGGCTCTGCTCAGCCCCAGGCTGTGGCCAATTACTGGGGTGAAGCCTTGTCTGCTACTAAGAATAAGGTCCGGGGCAATCCCAATGCTGTGTCTAAAGCAGGGGCTGGGCCAGATACAACGTGTTCTGCCCAGCCTCAAACAGATACAGCAAACACTGTCCAGCCCCAATCAGTGGCCAATTCTCAGGGTGAGGTCTTGCCTGGTGCCAAGAATAAGGTCAGGGGTAATCCCAATGATGTGTCTAAGGTAGGGTCTGGGCCAGATACAGTGGGCTCTGTTCAGCCCCAAGCTGAGTCTAATTCCCAAGGTGAAGCCTTACCTGGTGCCAGAAATAAGGTCCGGGGCAATCCCAATGCTGTGTCTAAGGTAGGGTCTGGGCCAGATACAAAGGGCTCTGCCCAGCCCCAGGCTGCAGCCAATTCCCAGGGTGAGACCTTATATGGTACTAAGAATAAGGTCCGGGGCAATCCCAATGCTGTGTCTAAGGTAGGGTCTAAGACAGATACGAAGGGCTCTGCTCAGCCCCAGGCTGCAGCCAGTTCCCTGGGTGAGGCCTTGTGTGGTACTAAGAATAAGGTCCGGGGCAATCCCAGTGCTGTGCCTAAGGCAGGGGCTGGGCCAGATACAGCAGACTCTGCCCAGCCTCAGACAGATACAACAGGCTCTACTCAGCCGCAGGCTGTGGCCAGTTCCCAGGGTGACGCCTTGCTTGGTGCCAGGAGTAAGGTCAAGGGCAATCCCAATGCTGTGTCTAAAGCAGGGACTGGACCAGGTACAACAGGCTCTGCCCCACCCCAGGCTGTGGCCAATTACCAGGGTGAGGCCTTGCTTGGTGCCAGGAGTAAGGTTAGGGGCAATCATGTTGCTGAGTCTAAGGTAGAGGCTGGAGCATGTACGATGGGCTCTGACCAGCGTCAGTCTGTAGCCCATTCCCAGAGTAAGACCTCGTATGGGGCAAAGGACAAGGCTATGCGTAAGTCTGAGGCAGAAGCCACAGGAGATGCCTCTGTAAAGCCAAAGCCGAAGGCTAAGGCCACGCCCACTTCTGAGAGTGAGGGTGGGGCAGGCACTCAGGCCTGCAAAAAGTCTCAGCCTAAGGTCCATGACTACTACTGGAATGGGATTGGTGTTGAGGACTGGATTGCTTCTGAGCGGTGGATCAAATTCAGGTTTCAGGCTAGGGATGGATACTGGGAGAATAGCATGTCCTGGGCTGATGATGAGAATGAAGCCAATGTTGAATCCTGGAGTGCAGCTAGGGGTGAGAATGAGGTTGGTATTCAATCCTGGGCTGGAGCTGGGGACCAGACCAGTGGAGGGCTCTGGGCTGGGAGTCATGCCAGTGAACAGTCCTGGGCTGCAGGCCAGGCCAGTGGGGGTTACTGGGTAGAGGCTGGGAACAAGGCTGTTGGAGGGTCCTGGACTGTGGCTGAGGACCAGGCCAGTGGGGCTTCTTGGGCTGGCACTGGCAACCAGGCCGTTGTGGTGCCCTGGACTGGAGCTCAGGCCAGTGAGAGTTCCTGGGCTGGGGGCCAGGCCAGTGGGGTATCCTGGACTGGGGGAGAGACCATTGGAGTGTCCTGGACTGTGGTTGAGAATCAGGCCAATGGAGCATCCTGGGCTGGGGCTGAGGCACAGGCCAGTGGAAGGTCCCAGGATGGGGCTGGGATTCAGGCTAATGGAGGGTCCTGGGCTCAGGCTACAGCTGGGAATGTGGTTAACATTGGGTACTGGGCTGTGGCTGTGGACCAGGCTACTGGAGGGTCCTGGATTCTGACTAGTGATCTGTCTGGCGGTGCATCCTGGGTTGGGACTAGTGATTTGTCTGGTGGTGGATCCAAGCCTAGACTTGAGCATCAGACCAATGAAAATGTGTCCTGGGCTGGAGCTGGGCTGGGGCCTGAAAACCAGTCCAGTGGAAGGGCCTGGGCTGACGCTGCAGACCAAGCCAGTGGAGGGTCTGGGCTAGGGCTTGTGGATGAGTCCAGCGGTGGGTCCTGGGTTACAGCTGGAGAACAGCCCAATAGAGGGTATAGGCCAGGGCTTGCAGACCAGTCCAGTGTTGGGTCCTGGACTGGCACTGGGAACCAGGCCAGTGAAGGATTCTTGGTGGGGGCCGTGGATCAGGCCAGTGGGGGTTCTTGGACTGGGACTCGTGATCAGCCTGGTGGTGGGTCCAAGCCTGGATTTAAGGATCAGGTCAGTGAAGAAGAGTCTTTGGCTGGGGCTGGTAGCCAGGCTGGTGGAGGGACTAGGTTGGGGCCTGAGGACCAGTCCAGTGGAGGGTCTTGGGCTGACTCTGGGGACCAAGCCAGTGGAGGCTTCTTGGTTGGGGCTGTGGACCAGGCCAATGAAGGGTCCTGGGTTGGACCTGGGCATCAGGCTGGTGGTGAGACAAAGCCTAGATATGAGGATCAGGCCAAATCTGGAAGAGTGTCTTGGGCTGACAGTGGGGGCCAGGCTAGTGGAGGCCAGGCTAGTGGAGGGTCTACACTGGGGCCCAGGGACCAGTCCGTTGGAGATTCCTGGGCTGGCATTGGGGACCAGGCCAGTGGAGGATCCAGGCCAGTGCTCAAGGATCAGTTCACTGGATGGTTCTATGCTTGCAGTGGGAGTCAGGCCAATACAGGAGGTTCCTGGGGTGGGGCTAGTGGCCAGGCCATTGGAGGGCCTGGGCTTGGGCCCATGAACCAGTCCAGTGGTGGGTCCTGGGCTGATACTGGGAGTCAGGTCAGTGGAGGGTCTTGGGCTGGGGCTGGGGATCAGGCTGGTAGCTGTTCCAAACCTGGATTTGAGGATCAGGCCAGTGGAGGAGCATTCTGGTCCGGTGCTCAGGACCATGCCATTGGAGGGTCTAGTCCAGGGCTTGCAGACCAGGCCAGTGGTGGGTCCTGGGTTGGTACTGGGAGTCAGGCCAGTGGAAGGTCCTGGATTGTGGCTGGGAATCAAGCTGGTAGCTGTTCCAAACCTGGGTTTGAGGATCAGGCCAGTGGAGGAGGCTCCTGGGCTGGCACTGGGGATCAGCCTTGTGGAAAATCCTGGGCTGGGTCTAAGCCTGGGAATGAGGCCAGTAGAGGGTCTAGCTTAGGGCCTGAAGAGCAGGAAAGTGGAGGTTCCTGGGCTAGGCCTGGAGACCAGACCAGTAGAAGGTCTCAGGTGAGTGCTGGGACAGAGGCCAATGAAGGATCCTGGTTTGGGGCTGGGAGTGAGGCTAGTACAGGGTCTTGGTTCTGGAGAGGGGAAGAAGCTGGTATTGTGTCTAGCCGTGGAGATAAAAATGAGGCCAGTATTGAATCCAGCTCAGTGGTTAGGGAAGAGGCTATCATTAGTTCTAGATTTGGGGCTGAGAGCAAAAACAGCATTGGGTCCTGGATCAGATCTGATGAGGCTGCCTATATGGATTCCTGTGTGGGGGCTGAGGCTGGGGCTGGGGTTGGGGCTGAGGTCAGGCAGGAGTCTTGGCTCTGGGATGGAGACACAGCCACTACAGGGTCTAGGCTTGGGGTTGGGGAAGAGGCTGGCACGGGGTCCTGGACTTTGGCTGGGGATGTAGATGAGGATGAGCTAAGTAGAGCATCCAGCCCCGATATTGAGGAGATAAGTTTAAGGTCCTTGTTTTGGGCTGAGAGTGAGAACAGTAATGCATTCAGATCTAAGCGTGAGAAAGATGTCAACTTTGAGCGTGGGGCTGGAGGTAAGGCCAGCACCAAGGATAAGCTTGAAGCTGCTGGTGGAGTCGATGTAAAGTCTTGTTTCTGGGATAGTAATGAAAACAGAAGTGAGGACAAATCTGCACCTAAGACTAAAGCCAAAAAGTCAGCTGAGTCAAGAGTCACATATCCATCTATGGTCCCTGGGGCAGGAATGGGGTCATGGGCGGGAGCCATGATCTGGACAGAAATGAAATTTCCATATCAAAATGAATCCTGCTTCCCACCTGAAGATGAGCTCAGAAAGCAGATCAGGTCTGGGGAGAAAACTCAGCCTTGGGCCTGCCGCTGTAGACATGAAACTAATATGGATCCACGAGAGCTTGAAAAACTCATTTGCATGATTGAGATGACTGAAGATCCTTCTATTCATGAAATAGCCAATAATGCTCTGTATAACAGCCGTGATTACCCATTCTCCCATGAAGTCATTCGTAATGCAGGTAGAATCTCAATTATTGAAGGCTTGCTCAATAATCCCTACCCCAGTGTTAGGCAGAAGGCTTTAAATGCACTGAATAACATCTCGGTGGCTGCTGAAAATCACAGGAAGGTTAAAACATACTTAAACCAAGTATGTGAAGACACCATCACCTATCCCTTGAATTCAAATGTGCAGCTGGCTGGATTGAGATTGATAAAGCACCTGACTATTATTAGTGAATATCAGCATATGGTTACAAATTACATTTCAGAATTTCTTCGTTTGTTAACTGTGGGAAGTGGAGAAACTAAAGACCATATTTTGGGAATGCTTTTAAATTTCTCTAAAAACCCATCTATGACAAAAGACTTGCTCATTGCCAATGCACCAGCATCACTGATTAATATCTTTAGCAAGAAAGAGACAAAGGAAAATATTCTTAATGCTCTCTCACTATTTGAAAATATAAATTACCATTTTAAAAGAAGAGCAAAAGTATTTACCCAGGACAAGTTCAGTAAAAATTCCCTTTATTTCATATTCCAACGACCTAAAGCATGTGCCAAGAAACTTCGAGTCTTAGCAGCAGAATACAATGACCCTGAGGTGAAAGAAAGAGTTGAGCTATTATTAAGTAAACTCTGATTAGTTGTAATTTTCCAAACAAATTTGAGTAATATTTGGGTTTTGCAGCCTGGAAGTAATGCACATTGTAAATTGCATTATAATTTCTAAAGTGATGTTGCTTATGATGGTCGTTAGCTGGACCATTTTATGAACACCAAATGAATTCAATTTTGTACTGAAAATACATGTGTTGATTTTTACCTTGTCTGGATTGAGATATTTTTGGTATGCTTCATGAGCAGAAACTGAGCTGATTCTTCATAAGTAAGGTAATCTTTGGTCCTTTGTGTGGACTTATGTTTATACATTTGAGACTTTATTTTTATGTCATCAATAAAGTTGTGTGTTTTAAGCAGAAAAAAAAGACACGTCTTTGTCCTTGAGTCTGTGATCTATTTGGAAAGGCAAGATGTATGGAAACAAAAAGATACTAACAAAACCCAAGAGCCTATGATCATAGCCAGCTGTTTCCCATTAGTGCTTAAAGGCAGAAGAAACTTCTGCATGCAACAGTGTTCAGGGAAAGTTTTGCAGAGGAGGGGGCACTTAAGTAAGCTGGGCATGAAAGACAGGATAAAAACAGGGCAGAAGGGCATTGGAGGAGGGAGGAGTGACGGGAAGAAAGGCATGGAGGTGGGAATTTTGCTCCACAGAGGAGACTGGCCTGCCTGGAGTACAAAGTGTGGGGAGGGGAGTGATGGAAAATACAGTCCAGCAGTTGGGTGAGTCCCATTCATGGAGGATCCCTGATTTCTAAACTGAGGCGTCTGTATATTCTACCCACTTCTGGGAGACACGAAAGCCTTTTGTGACCAGAGGAGTGACAAGATGAAAGGAACATTATGTGACTGACTTGCGTGCAGAATGGGTCAGAGTTGGGGTGGGGACAGGATTGGCCACTGGAGATTGGAACACCACTTAGGAAGTTACCACCATAGTTCAGGCATAGTTCCTAAAGGCGTGAAATTTCACTGGTGGCAATGGGAGTGGCAAGGGGAGGAAGGAAGTGAGAGTTGCTTTGAATGAAGAAGTGCTGGAACCTATCCTGGGGACATACAGAGAGGGACAATTTTATTGTAGGGTCCTGAGGGCATTTGATAGGAAAACATCCTCTTTCTTGTCCAACTCTGGTGTCTATGGGAGTGAATATGTTAGTGATTATTTTGGAATTATGAAAAAATATAATAGAAGAAATAATAATTTTTAGTGCTTCTATCAGATTTCTTTTACAAGATTGGTTGGGGCAGGGTCTTTATGGAACCATTGAGAGGGCTGTTGGCATCCATACTGGAGAAGATCCACCTCTCTTCCAACCCAGAGTATGGTGAAGGTGTGGGTGGAGGGACACCTTCAAACTGTACTGGTGGGAGCATACTTGGTACAAGATCCATTTGGATACATGTTTTAGAAGCTTTCAAGATGTGCACGCTCTTTGACCCAGAAATTCCTCTTGTAGAAATTTATCATTAGGAGATAATCAAATAATCAGCTTGTACAAGGCTGTGCATCTGCACCTTTTTGAAGAGTGAAAAATTGTGAATGACCCAAGTGTCTTGAAATAGGCACTTGGCTAAGAAATTAAGGTATGTATACACATTGAGACATTATGCAGCTCTTGAAAATGTTGATGGGCAACTACACTTATTTACATGGGAAAAATTCAGCATATAATCTTAAATGGGGAAAATAGGCCGCAAAAGCACATGCTATACTTTTTATGAAGAAAGAACATATATTTAAATTATCTTTATGTATAAACTTTGGTGTGTATACTCTTGAGAATGTGGATAGTTCCCTGAGAGTGTAAGATTAATGGGTAATTTTACCTGTTTTTTACTTATCTGTATTTTCTGATATTTATATAATAAACCAGGACTTTTTGCATAATTTACTAAAAGGAAACGGGTGAATTCAGGCTAAGCAGGCCTGTTAATAGCATTTCAGGGCACTAGAGCAAAAGTATAAATGGAGGTTCACATATTTATGTCTGAATATTTGGAAGGTATAAATAAAATTTTAAAATAAATATTACTTAAATAAAGCCATAAATATAAGTATAAATGTTTGAAATTTTAAATTTCATTAATCGTTTTGAAAGTAAAGCTGTTCTCAATTCTAGCATTTGATGGTCACCAACTTTCCAGTGGAAAAAATGATGTCATACTTGTGGTGAATTCTGCAATCTGCTGCCCTAATCCTCCTTCATGAATAAAGAGTTTATTATTTCAGTTGCTAGGAGTGCTGCCAGCAGACAGCCCTCAGCTGTCAGCCTTCATCGGGAATTGCCTCAGCTAGAAAGCCACTTCCCCCAAGGTCATACCTCCTTTCTGGGGTACTTCACATTCAATGACTGATCTACATGGCCTTCTTGCCCCAAATGGGACAGCTTAACTTCTCCCTCTGTCCAATCCTGCTTCCTTCTTTTCCTTTTCACAGGTTTTAATCCTAAGAGCATTCCCTAATAAAAGCCCTTCATGCTGAACCCTGTCTCTGAGTCTGCCCTCCAGGAAGCCATCCTACAACAGTTGGTACAAGAAGAGGTTCAGAAAAGCATACACTGTGATGAAATTTAGGAGATGGATCATCTGCTGCCCAGCTGCCAATGAGGACACCATCATTTGTGGTAGGTGGAGTAGATAGACATGTGGAACAGGTAGCAGAGGAGTTAGAGCTTTCACTGGAGGTGAACTAGAATGGCATTCATGGAAGGGAATACATTAACTGGTGCCATGTGGTAGACATTTGAGAAATATGTGAGGTATATTAAATATAAGGAAGTCCAGAAAATTGGGTGGCTATTGCTCAGCTTGATGGACCTCTAGGAAAAGATAATGAAAAGCTGAATTAAATTAGTCAACAATTTAAGCTATGTGTGAAAGCCAGAGGGTTTCATTCACAGCATATAAAGAGGTCCTCATCTTTTTCAGGTAGAGAGTAGAGAAATCTGAGGACCAAGCCCAGGACTTATTGAAACAAGCTTCAAAGAAAGTTAAAATCTAAACCAAGACAAGTCTGCTATGCCAAGACCAGGGCCCTGGTTAGGAAGGAATGTGACCCTGACACATGGAATAGGGACATCTGGATTGATGTCCCTAAAAGTCTTATATCCTCAGATTTCCCTGAGCTCCTTGAGCGTTCAGAAGTGTCCCACTCCTTCCTATTAAGCGTTAGTGCTTCACCTTGCTTGAACATGCAGAGCCCTTTCCCTTGTAAGATAATGTGTGTTTCCCACAGAATCTGCCCCCACCTCCCATCCTGGCCACTGGGCCTATGTCTAGGGTTAAGTTACATAACTTCATTGCTGTTGTTCTGGGCCTAATAAGGAAGGAAAGGGAATATCTCAAGAAGGAGCTGCAGGACCTAGCCAGCATGTTCTAGCAGGTGCTGAGGGAGTAAGCATGGGACTGAACTCTGAGGGCCTTGATCAGGGGAGCTAGAATATAAAATTGAATAAGGGATAATTAATTGATCAGAGAGTTCTCTACCAAGATACAGGATTTAACATCCTGGAAAAGATCCCAGGAGATCAATGTGAACTCACTATTAGAATGGCTCCTCAAAGAATGGAAAAAAACCAATGGCCCACATTGAGGTATAAAGGCCAGAGTTGCCATTGCAGATGGTGGGAGAAGGGATTAAAGGCTCAGGGAAGTGGGAATAGAATAAATATATTATAAAGACAGAAAGCCCTCCAGAGGACTATGTTATGGAGGAGGACCCAAAGGGCACACCATTTGCTAAAGCTATAAGGAATGCACTGGTTAAAGGGTTACCAGCATCACTGAGAAGTTCAGTGGTAGCTTGCCTCTGCAGACCAGGGCTCAGAGTAGGGGAGGGTATTATAGGATGAAGATCACTGATAGAAATGGTAATGCCACTGAAACAATAGAGACAGGATAACTGTGCTCAATTGTCAGAAGTCAGGTAGAAGCAAATACCATAATGCACCACAGGGTCAGAGTAATAGGTGGGGAGGCCTGATCTGCAGAGAGCTTTGGAGAGGGTTAATAGAACACAGTGCTCCTCCTGGTAGATAGATGGTTAAGAGGTAGTTAATAGAACGTGGGTGGTCAATATAACACATTGTCCTAGGGAAAATAGGCGTCCAACAATTTGTATTCGATCTGTACAATCAAAAAAAAAATCAAAGATACTCAGAAGTCTGAGGGAAGATGCCTCAATAAGTCACACTCTCCTGCTCAGCTTTGGCCTTAAGTCAGTTTTTGATCCAGAGAGCACTGTTTGAAGGAGTGGGGTACCCAGGACTGATTCCTCCAGTCCTTCCATTTACAAAGGTAACTGTGTGCTGGGGAAAGAGGAATACCCAAACATTTTGAGGGCTGATGGACCCTGGTTGTGAGTTGCTATTGATACCAAGAGACCTAACGTATCATCTTGCCTCACCCCTGTTAGAATAGGGGCAGATGGAAACCAGAAATTATATAAGCTCCTAGTCTATGTTGGGTTTATAGTGGCTCCACTGGGTCTACAGACTCACTCAATGGTTATTTTTCTGGTGTTTGAATATATAATTGGAATAGACATTATGATAGTTGGTACAAGCCCCATATTGGTTCCTTGGCATGTGGAGTCAGAGCTATTTGTAGATGAGGCCAAGTGGAAGCTTTGAAATTGCTGTCCTCTTCCTCGGCAAAGATGGTAAATGAAAACATAGATAGCATCTTGGAGAGGATGGCTGAAGTTAGTGCCACCTAAAGACCTAAAGAATGCTGGGATGTGGTCCCCATCATATCTCCATTTAATGCATCAGTTTGGACCCCTGAAAAATGTGGACAGAGTCTGGTAGATGACAGTAGACTACTGTAAACTCGACCAAGTAGTGGCACAAGGGCAGTTGCCATGCCAGATACGATATCTTTGCTAGAACAGGATGGCATGGCCTTAGGTACCTGGTACAGTAATCAGCTACTGATTTGGAAAATATTTTTTTTCCTATCCCTATCAGAATGGAACATCATAAAAGTTCACATTCACATAGAATGACAACAGTATACATTTATAGTTTTTCCTCAGGACTCTACTAACTCTCCTGTCCTCTGTCATGGTATAGTCTGAAGAGATCTGGACCATCTGAATATGACACTAGTCCACTGTGTTGATGACATCATGCTAGTTGGACCAAATGGCTAAGAAGTGGGTAACACGTTGGAGGCCTTGGTAAGACATGTGTACTCCTGAGGATGGGAGATAAACCCTACAAAGATCCAGGGGCTGGCTGCATTAAGTACAGTTTTTAGGGGTTGAATGGTCTGGGGCATGCCAGGAGATTCCCTATAAAAGTACAGTACAAATTATTGCATTTTCCACCTTCCTCATGAAGAAGGAAGCTCAATGTCTTGTAGGCTTTATTGGGTTCTGGAAGCAGCACATTTCACATCTGGAATTACTGTTTTGACCCACATACTGGGTAACACGAAAAGTTGCCAACTTTGAGTGGGGCCTAGAACAAAAGAAGGCCTTATAGCAGGTCCAGGCCATGGTTTCAAGCAGTCCTGCCACTTGGACCATGAAATCAATAGACTCTAAGGTATTAGAGTTATCTGTGTTGGTGGAAGATGCCATGTGGAGTTTTTGGTAAGCCCCAAGGGGAAGGTCACAACTTAGACCAGAACTTAGATTCTGGAACAAAGTCATGCCACACGCAGTGGATAATTATATATCTTTTAAAAACAGCTCCTGATATGCTACTGTGTCCTGGTAGATATGGAATACATGGTCATAGGACATCAAATGACCATACAACTGACCATACAACCAGAACTGCCCATTATGAACTGAGTTTTGTCAGCTCCTCCAAGGTATAAGTGTGGGCAGGCCCAGCAACAAGATGGAAGTTTTACACGTAGGATCAAGCACAAGCAGGACTGGAGGGTATAAGCACCTGCACAATCAGCTAGAGCAGATCCTCCATGATATCCACCACTGTTGCGCTAGCACCTTTCACACTCCTTACACCTGTGGCCTCATGGGGGATCTTTTTTGACAAGCTGACTGAGAAGGAAAAACCCCAGCCTTATGTATAGATTGGTGGGCTTGGTATGTGGGTATCATCAAGGACAGCAAC